TGCTCTTTTCATTCCTAACCGTGTGAACAAGCTGCTTGGCAGCTCCTATATCTACCACTTCAGATGAAGTGGCATGCTGCAGTTTACTCAACCCCTTCTCTTTGGAAATGGCTGCATGGTTGTTCATGGGTCACATTTGCAGAATACTGGGTGATGAGATCTGTATGAATAAAGCTTTATATTTATTTACTTCCTTGTCCTTAGAAAAAATTACCATGATTGGTAATACAGACCGAGTCAAGGTTTCCACTTCTCTAGCTCATATTCTAAGTAAGATTATTTAATGGTATTGCCAGTGAAGGACGAACTGTAAAGCCTAAGACAACTTCATGAAGAAATAGATTAAAATAGTTTCAGGAAACAATCAGGTGTTTGCCTAGACTGCTCTGAAGGACTTCTCACCCCTTAAGGACAGGTAGGGACAGCTTGAGATTTCTGTTTCTTGGTCTCATATCACAAAGGGTTCCCTGGCTAGCTCTGCACACAACAAGGAGCATGAAAGGTAAACACAGGAATTTTAAGATGCAAAATTCTTGAACCTATACAGTAGATAGCATATAATAACACAAGGATTATTTTCTCCCACCACATATATATGTATATATATGTATATGTATATATGTGTATGTAATATCTGTATATTAATTGCATTAGGATTATATGGGAAGGTATTCTGTAATTAAGATAGTTCACTGCTGATGGAGGTCTCACTAGGCAATCTGCACATATATTCATTTTATAAAAGGAATGTCTTCCTAGATTCCCCTTTCCAGGAAACTATGGCCTTAAGAACTGAAATTGGCCTTTCTGCAAAACTGGCCTTCCTGTTATTGCAAACACATGGCTCCCTGTGTCATGGCCTTCCCTGATTATTCTGAGTGCACTAAATTGAAGGTCATGGTAACAGCGTTAACTAGCCTTGGACACAAACTTCATACAGGTCTAAAAAGTCATTTTTCCTTCTATGTAAGATTTCCTTTAAAAAAAAAATGCTGGCCCATTTAAAATGTTATTGTACCTATTCTTTCCCATCTACCTGTTCCGCTTCTCAGTGCTCGCCTCTTCCCGTAGGCTGCAGTAAAGCATTGGTTGTAGTTCCCTGAAAAGCGTGACACTGCCATGGGCCAAAAGGTGGGCGACAGCTGATACAGAGGTAGAATTCCACTGATGCCAGACCAAACTACTGAAGGAAAAGCACTCACCAGGTATGGTCCCATGTGAAAGAGCAGGGTAGAGGCCATGTCTTGGAGACTCACTAATGAAACTGTCGTTGCTGGCACTGGCTTTTATTTGTATTTTCAAGGAACTGCCTGTCCCTCTGTTAGGAAATTCTGTGTCATAAGCGACTTTGCCAAAAGTGGCTTGCTAGTTTCTCCTAACAGCACACAGAAGCACAGACTCGCTTCCCAGCGGAGCTTCCAAACGACATCAATTGCCACAGGATACTGGTCTGCCTTTAGACTTGGCCCACGTGAGGTGGAGGTAGGTTAGAAAAGGCGGCATTGCCTCCAAAAGAAAACAAGGACTGATTATAGCCGGAATGGTTCCTTGGGGATGGTTACTAGGTGGGAAGGATGCAAAAGCCTTGGGCTGCAGACCCATAGCCATACCCCACTGAGGTGCCGCATCCTATTTGTAAAATAAAAATGACAATACCAAGGCATGGCCTGGATGTTCTGAAGGATGATGACCAGCCTCCTTAAGGTGTCTGAAAGCATCCGTGTGTCTGTTGTGTTGGGTATAAAGAATGTATGGAGCTTGGTATAGGGGCACATGCCTGTAATCCCAGAACTTGGGAGGCTGAAGCCGGGGTATTCTAAATTGCACACCTTTCTAGTCATCATTTTTCTGGATACTTTTCTAGACAAACGGCTCAGTTCTCACCCTTTCCTCACCTTCCACTCCTTTCTAGAGCCAAGCTTGTCTGGCTTCTCACCACCACTCCACTGTCAAAGTCTCTCTTCAGTATCTCCATCAATCAAAAGGCACTTCCCAGTCCTTATCTTAATGAGACTCTCAGTCAGACATTATTGACCTTCATTTCTCAAAAACTTAAGCCTCTCTCGGTTTCCAGGACAGCCTGTTCCTCCTTCTTGGGCTCTGCCATCGGTTTCCTTGTCTTTGCCTGACATCTTGACACAATGGCTTCTCAAGTCTGGGCTTAAGGACAGCCAGCTGTGCTGAGCTGGCTAAGGATTCTGTGAGCCACTGAGGCATGCAAAGGTTTAGAGCAGCAGGCAGCATGCAGTGGATGCTGGGTAAACATTTGCTATGACCTTCAGTTGAATTCATCTCTACCAGGGCTTCATGGGAAGTTCCAAAGACATCATCATGTTAGACCTCCATCCACACTGAACTCCAAAGATACCCAACATCTGACTGCTCATCTTAATGTCTCGTCTTACTGCCTCTGCTGACGCTGAAGTGTCCCACATTCTCCCCTAACTTGGTTTAGACGGGATCATGGGCTAGTTTGAGAATCCAATTAAATTTTTTTTTCTTCTCACAAAGCTTTATCAGGTCTATTAGTTTGTATGTGTCTTGAATCCATTTGTGGACCCCATGTTGAGGACTGACATCCTAGTGGGTATGTCACTTGAGCTGGGGAGAAAGGGAGAGGGAGAGGGGGAGAAGGAGGGCCAGGGAGAGGGAGAGATGGAGAGAGAGAGAGAGAGAGAGAGAGAGAGAGAGAGAGAGAGAGAGAGTAGAATTTCACCTGGTAGACAGGAATGCCAGACAGAAAGGGCAGAGCTGGCAGAAAGGGCAGTGTGGCAAAAGTAGGCATCAGAAAAGCATGTCAGGATGGCCAAGTCAGAGATCAAGGAAAGCTCCCCTCCACGAGAGGAGCTCACAGTCCAAGGCCATGTTCAGTTCTTGCCCTTAATAGACAAAAGAGCTGTAGACGCTTGGAAGGGAGAGCGACAATACTAAGAAAATCCAGGCATGGGGGCACATTCCTACAATCCCAGTCCTTGGGAAGCAGGGCAGGAAGAACAGAGATTAGGGTTGTCATCAACTACTTGGTGATTTCAAGTCCAACCTGGACTACAGGAGACCCTGTTCCAAACAACAACAACAACAACAACAACAACAGCAACAGCAAGTAGCCAACACTTAATGAGTTCTGTGTGCTTTATACGTAACTTGGCCAGAAGAGAAAGGGGAAACACCAGAAAATGAGCCAACTACTAACAGCAGGTTTGATAGCTAAGCTAGAAGTCCAAGTATACGGAGTAGATCACAAATACAGGGCTAAGGGGCATGAACTGAAACTTCTGTTTCAAATAATACCATTTTACATTTTAACTTAAGTTTGCTAGTGGTGCAATAAGAATTCTTGAAACAGTTCTGTCCTGGTACAGCAAGACTCTTTAGTGACAAGCAGAAAACAGAACTTGGGTGTCTCCACATTAACTAGCCCTCCCCAGGAGTCCCTGGTAGCTGTCATGCTGGCCTGCCTCCTGGGGGTGAAGCCACCCCTCAAAGCCAATGCTTACTCCCTCTTCTCCAAGGCCAAGGCCCTTCTGGCAAACATCTGCTTCAGGAGAGCCGTGCAAGTTAAAGACTAGTGGGACAGAGGCTGCTTCACAGCAGTTACAAAAGAGCTGGCAAACGTTGCTCTGTTTCATTCTATTCACGGAGGAGAGGGGCGCCAAGGATGGTCAACTGAAGCTGGTAAGTAACAGTGGGGGAGGGGGTGTGTGAACAGTCAAAGAATTCTTGTCTACTGTGCATGAGGCCTTAGGTTGGAACCCCAGTGCCACAAAAATCAAGAAAGAAACTAAATTGACAAGTTTCACACCAGCAGAATTGAAGCGAAAGCAAGGGTGGGTCGGGTGGGGGACTTCAGTCAAGTTACTCCTCCGCCATGGTTACCACAGTTGGGTAACAGGGAAAACCCACTGTAGGTTCAGTTGGGTTAGGTCAGAACCGAGGTCCATTCTGGAACAGGCCTCTCTCTCCCTGTCCTCAGTAGATTGCCAGATCCTAAAATTAGCTCGAAACCGCTCCACCTTCCAGGAATTCCGAGGTCTTCTGTAGTCCGGGTAGCCCCTGACCTCCAGCAGGATTTCTCCAGATAGGAGAAGACACCCTTTCCTACTGAGCATCCTGGATGTAGTGCTGAGTGTGCACAGGAAAATCCTCTAGATAGGGGCTGGGTGGAAACCATTCCGGGACATTCGCTTCTGACAAACGCATTCTTTTGTCTTACTCAGGAAAACTGCTGTTGGGAGAGGGCTAATTAGCCTCCAAAGGTTTCAGCTAATTACTTGAGTCCTTTGAAGCACATAAGACCCCCATTCACAATATCCTGCGGGTACCCAAGGCTGGCGGGGTGCAGAGGCGGCTCAGCAGCACAGTGTAAGTGAGCTATGCAGCCCTCTTAGCGGGCTTCGGGAGTCTTATTCGTGCCAGGTGTCCCACCCTCTCCACCTGCTTTCCTCATCTCCAGGGCCCGATTCCCGGGAGGCTCCCGAGCTACTAGAGTTCCCCAGCTGGTGGGAACAAGTGCAGGCGCATCTCTATCTCACAGTGAATACTGGCTGAACCTGGCACCGAGGGCCACAGGGCTGCGAGGAATGACGCTGAGCCTCGGGTCCCACCACCGTCCAGCCCAGGGTGGGGCCCTTCCCGCCCCTCTCCGCCCTGCCCCAGGCAGCCACGGACCACGCCACTAGCCCGCAGACACTGAGTCCCAGCCCCGATCCCGATCGCGCTGCACTGGCTCGGGATCCCGCCCCTCCTGGTCCAGCTCACCCTCCGGTCTCGGCGCCCGAGTCCACGCAGTCCTCCTCCTCACCGCTTGCCTTCGGGTTCATGGCGCGCGTGCCCGCCGCGCTCCCTCGGCCCCGGGTCCCTCCGAGCGTCTCGTACCCCCGGCCCGGCAAGGACCCGGCCCCGGGCGCCAGCAGCTCGCCGCGCCCTCTCGCGGCCGCGCCCTCCCCGCCCTCCGCTCGGCGCTGCGCGGGCGCGCGGGAGCCACCAGGCGAGGACCCGAGCGTGCGCACGGGATGCGCGCGTGTGCACGAGCGCAAGCGTGAGTGGGGGAGGTGGGGGAGGTGGCCTATCTCTATGAACTTGGGGTGTATTGGGCGTGCAGTGTTTAATCTTGCACCCACCTGAGTAAGTGCCCGGTGGCTGTGCTTTCTCTAGAGCGGGCAGTAGATGTGAGTAGACCCAGCAAAGCTATCCTCTCCTGGGCTCACAGTAAAGAGTCCGGAGTCCCCGGGCTTGCTCAGAGATTTTTCCAGCGAGCAGCACCGGGAAAACACCCACCAGCACAACCAGGGCAGGGTGGGATGTCTCCATTTGAGGATCAGTTAAGACACCTGAGTGATCTGCGGAAGCTGAGTTCATTATCGCCTTGCTCAGCGTGCAAACCGAGCTGAATGGCTTCTCACTGACCCAACTTGCTAGTGAATGCATTCTTTTGTTATCTGTTTCAAAACAACACGAGGAGGTCTGGATGTGCCTGCCTTCAAGGAATCTGGCAGCAAGAGGGTGGTGGATGTTAAACCCCGCCATCCTTCAGGGTGGGTTACTTGAGGTAGCAGGAGGTCATCTTCACTCTAGTAGGTTGAGGTGAGGCAAGTTGTTGTTGTTGGTGGGTTAAGAGCAAGTTAGACTTAATTCTGGTGGTGTTGTCATTAGACAATATGGAAGGCACTTCTCTTCTGAAGGGTAGCGTCGAACCAGTGGCCTTGCGCAAGCTCTACCACCCAGCTACAACCCAGCCACCTTTTCTTTTCAGACAAGTTATTTAACCTCCTTCAGCCTTAATTTCTTCACCTACTGGGCTACTGCTGTCTTTCCTGTACCTCCGTGGTGGGTTACACGGGATCATGTCTGTAAACAGTTTGAGTCCTGATACCTGCCAAATACTAGTTACAGGGAGCGGTCGGCGTCCCAGGCGAAGCCTAACCAGCTGAAGTCCTATCTCAGCTTGCACAGAGGTGTCACTCCCGTGGGACAAGTGATGAGGAGCGATACTGTTTCTTTCCTTTCTTCTTCTCCTTCCGACCTTTCTTCCCACTTCACAGAATTGGCATTGCTTTCTGATTCTTATTTTAAACACGGTATATATATATATATACGTTATATATACATATATATATATGAGAGAGAGAGAGGCAGTAAACAAAAGCAGAGTGGATATGCAGTCTCACAGTCAGGTGAGTGTACCCACCACAAACCTTTCCTAAATCTAAAATTTTTTTCCCAAACAAGCAAAAATGGATGTGTTATATTCAATTTGGTGCTCATTAAACAAAGAAGCAGTTCTTTAAGGGAGAAGTGTTTTGGAATATCACTTTAACTATGTAACGATGTGTTACATTTGTTTGTGCTGCATTTGTTTAATTATGTAAAGATGTGTTGCATTTGTTTTACCTTGCCTGCCTAAGGCATCTGGTTGGTCTAATAAAAAACTGAACAGCCAATAGCTAGGCAGGAGAGAAATAGGCAGAGCTGATGGGCAGAACAAGTAGGGGGAGAAATCTAGGCTTGAGAAAGAAAAAAAGTATGGTGACATATTGTGTACCCTAATAAAATTTGCCTGAAGATCAGAGCGACAAAGGAATAAGCCACTGCCACATCTTACCTCTTAGACTCCTCAGCCTGAAAAAACTCTCCAGCTGAAAAGCCTTTGGATCTCAAGTGCTGGGATTAAAGGTGTGTGATTCTCAAGTACTGGGATTAAAGGTGTGTGCCACCACGGCCTGGCTCTGTTTCTCTCCTAGACAGAATCAATCTCATGTAGTTCAGGATGGTTTTGAACTCACAGAGATTCAGATGGAGCTTGGCCTCCAGGGTGCTAGGATTAAAGGTGATACTGCCTAGCCTCTATGCTTAATCTAGCGGCTTGTTCTGTTCTTTGATCTTCAGGCAAATTTTATTAGGGTACACAATATATCAGCACAGAGAAGAGAATGAGGGAGAAAGAGAGGGACATGCCAGGGCCAGAAGTCAGACAGCTGCCATCCAGAAATGGAGACAGCAGGAAAGA